CCCTTTTGAATTTCATGAAAATATTTTATCAACCAAACATAAATTTCTGAAATTTATTGAAAACAGCAATTTATTAATCAAATATGTCAATCAAAAACTAACTTTCGTTACTTCAGTCAGATGAGGGTTCCTTCCCACAGGTTGACAATCATTTACTAGAAACAACGTAATGAATCCAGTGCAAGCAGAAACTGCAGCTACCAATAAACATTCCATAAGTTTTTGCCAGCTGCTTCGAATATATCTTAAACAAGAAAAAAATCCTGATGATCAGAACTTGAAAGCTTTCCGCTTGACAAGCATTAGAAAAATAATCTTCAATCTCCAACTTAATGACATTAGGTAACGAACTTTTTTCTAAACCAGGAAAGTTTCAGATTCAAGAAGTTGAACAGAGCGCCCGAAACACCACCAATAACACCAATAAAAAGGAAGATCGGTATTTCCCAAACATTGTAACTATCATTCTATAAAAATATATCGTTCCTTAATATAATCTTGGTAACGACCACTGGAAAGTCTTTTTTAGTGAATAATAAAACAGAATCAAATTACTTCGAAATAACAATAAAACAGCATTAAATTACTTCGAAAACTCCTAAATTCGCCAATCCATTCCAAGACAAAAACCCAGCGACTCCATGGAAAATGCTGAGAATTAAGTTCAGAGTAAATGATGACATCATAGCAGCAAAAAACTGAAAACTATCTTGGAATAATTATTGAACTTCACTTTTACAACAGAAAATAATTAAATGACGTTACCATTCGCCATGTCAAACTTTGATTCCAAAAACTCGCTCCTTCTTCCAAGCTGAATAGAACACCACCGATTGGAGCACCAAAAGCTGCAGCCACACCAGCGGAAGCACCTACACTAACAAAGTCACGTTTTTCTCTGAAATAAAAGTCAGTTGGCCATAAACACAAAGGTACTTATCATTCTGACAAAATTAAAATGTACGCACCGGTCATTTCTAAACTGTTCAAAAATATGAAAATCGAATGCGCACGTGACGCATTTGCCCTGCGAAATACCAGCTGCAACTACTGCACCTGAATGAATCATCGGGCCTTCCTGTAAATTTTCAGTTCAGAAGTTACATGTGCTGACGTAATATATAAAAAAATGCAGTTCTGAAAGTTGAACTCATAATCATTTGACAGTTTACTCAAATAATTGAAAATATTACTTTTCCTGCGCTTAGGCCACCAGCAACCGTACATGCTACTCCGAAGGCTTTAGCAAACAGCGTTTTCAATCTTATAACACCAGGTATTTCCACACCATTCAAAAAACATTTCACCTGTGATATACCTGTAATTTGCTTTAATTTCATGTCAACATCAAGAATTAACCTACTTTAAGTAGAATTTTTATGATCAGAAAATATATAAACAAACCTGAACCAACAGCAGCAGGTGAAACAAATATAATTAAACAAGCAGATATACTAACAAGGACGCAGTTATAACAAATCCATGCTAGTTCCACCATCCACATACAACTACCTCCAGCTTCTAGGCGTTTTTCACATAACGTCACTACTGAAAAACGAAGTAAATGAATTATTCGTAAGAAATAGTGTACATGATAAAAAAGTTAAAATAATCTGAGATTTTCAGTATTAAAAGACACTGCTCAGATAGATTTTACTCCTTAATGAAAATCAGAAGATTCAATTACAAAATTACCAAAATATATCTGTGACTCAGTCAAGCTTGGCAAATATAAGAAAATATTTATATATCATCTGTTTATTACAAGGACTAAGATTTCTTTTATTTTTAGTAAAGTAAAAAAAACAATTACAATTATTAAGAATCAAACGAAATTTTATCACACTGCTGTAGTAAATTATAATATCTATGACAGCTGCAATAATACCAGTAATTACTCCAATAAAGAAGCACACCACCCAACGATTGAATGATTGTCGGAAAAGCTTTCGCTAGAAATTTAATCCCTTGAAAAGAAAGAACTGTTTAGTTCAAGAATTTTACCAAAATTTATTACTAATTTTGAATTCAAAAACATAACGTTATAATAAATACAAAACAAAAGGACAAATAATGCTAATTTCACATCTATAAAAAGTTTTGGGCACTGCATGTACGAAGATAATTTATTACCTGATGCCCAGATTGTAGCTCTTCACTCCGATAAAGTTTATTTTCCACAATTTCATAATTCAAACTTTCATACCGTGAAGAAAGAGCAGCTAATTTTTTTTTATTTGTATGCAGTCCATCGTCAGAATTAATTCCATGTTCTGTTTCTTCCCGACGTCTTCTTCTTAACTCAGCATTCACATTTGAAATACTGGTCATTCTTTCCAGACCAGTAACAGGATCCTCATTCGGATCCAAGCTGAAATAACAGTAGCATTTAGGACTACAAATGCACTAATAATACGTAAAAAGTTTTTGTAATAACAGTATATAGTAACTCGAAATGTGTTACAAAAGTTTCTTTCAAATTATACTTTAATATCAATGACCATTTTTTAGCTCTCACCTCCAATCTGCAGCTATGATTAAAGGAAATAATAAACAAAAGGAAACTAACGCTGTTAATAAAGGAGACCAATCAGTCATGGAGCAAGTTAATCAACGTGGGACGACAAGTAGATGCTCAACAATAAAGCCTGAAGTTCGCTTCGATAAAATTGCAGCATTGAGAATGCTTGCAAAAATAAAACACGAAATATTATCAAGATCTAAATCTACATTGCATGAATTGCTTGCGCCATTTCCAAGTTTCATCTCTTAGGAAATACAAATACTCTTCATAAGACCAAGTACAGTTAATATATTAGGCCACCTCAATTATGCCCTAAACTTTCAAATCACTCAGTATTTGCCATTACTGAGTAACACCGTTAACCTGCGATAGACCTGTACCGAACTGTTATCTTACCAACATATATCCGCTTTCCCTACACATTCACTACAAATGTCAATGTCTAACATTAAATATTCTCAAATAACTACGCAAATAGTAAAAATTAATTCTATGATTCATGCAGAAAAATTATTTTTTCCTGATATTTCGAGTTTCTGATTCTACCATTTATTACATATTCCTTCCTACAACACAAGAAATACTCTTTTTTCACATGGAAAAAATTTTCAAGTAAATTGCGAATACAACTTCATAAGAAATCTTGTATTTCTTTACGATATAGGTCACAAAATCGAGTTATCACGACAATTAACGATAAGTCAAAGCTCATATTATAGTTGCGACAAATAACAGAACTACAACAAAATATCATTATCAAACGTCGCTTTCGTTGGCAAGATATAACTAGAGTTACGCCTGCTTGGCTGAGATAATATAAAACAAGAATCAAAATATTTTCAAACGGCAGCAACTCAGGCTAACAGCAATTCTGTATAACCCTTCAAATTTTTTAGCACGCATATCAACAAGTAGTACTCCCTATTCGTTACAATATGCCCAAGCAAAAAATAATTCCATTGCATTCCTCAAAAAAACAATAACTGACATCACTAACTAACATGACCGGCAACTGCAGTTGGTTAGCGAAATTGAGCACCTACCTGAGATCCCTCATAAAATTCTCTATCCTAAATAACTTTCCATACTTAACAAGACACGCAAATTGCATAACCCACATAAATGGCAAAAAACTGATTCAGAATACTTTATATACATCAAGTGTTCCAGAATGCCTCAGAATCACATCTTAAAACCTTGATTCTTTCGTACTATAATCAGCAAATCATTATTACTGAAACTACTTGTCTCTATTTCTAAGATAACACTATTACTCAAAATGTCAAATTCCTTAGTGAAAAGAGTTAACCTATTAGTTTTCTGCTGGGAAAAATGCAGTCACAAGCATGACTACAATTTATAACACCAGAACTGTTATTTATAGGGTGCTGATGATAGACGAGAACAATTTAGATTAAAATTTCCTGATATGGTATCTTTCTAAGATTTTTATCTTTCAAGGAAGAGATGTTTCACTTAGATAATTTTCAAAAGCTTGCTGATGTCTTTCTATAATTAATTCTCTTATAGTTGTATCATTAAGTATTTTTAGTAACAGAGAGAGAGCAGCGCTATCGCTTCGTGTATTTGTAACGTCTTCAGTTTTTCGGGATTCACAATTCTGAGCATCATTCTCTATACTCAGTAGACCTTCTTGCCAATTCATTTCATCTTTTTCTACACTTATCTCGAGTTTTTTTTCATTCAAACCTTAAAATAAAATTGAAATCACTTTTCACGTAATAAAGGAGAGCAAAAAAAAAACATCTGTAAATGAATGGACTTAAAAACGGTAGAAATTCTTTTCTCAGTATTTTGACAAATTCTGAAACATACACTTCAGAATATATTCAGTTATTGAGAACACTCCAGATTCATCAAATGCTTGATTCCACTGCCATAGATGAAGCCTCGGTACTGAAACCATTAATTGTGTAGTTCCTCGGCCAAACTCACAATTATCCGCTTTTTTATGAATTTTCCATACTCTAATACCAGGTCCCTCCTGAAAAATAATGAGTTAAAATACTTATGTCCTCCTAGTAACATTAAATAAATAAAGAAACAGACAATGTCGACTCACTTTGTCTAAAGCTACCCAAAAGCGCGCGCCTACCATCAGAGGCCAAGAACTACACGGTTCATAACCGAATGCAAATTTGTGCAACTTGATGATACCAAAAGGTGGACAGAAAACAGCAGCGGTAGCACCATCAACAGAAGTAGGGAATTGCTGACGTAAAACCACGCTCAGAAAATTCTACGAAAATCATTTTTATACTATCCCATAAAAATTATTACTTTGCATTAATGACTTGAATTAAATTTGAACAACTAATTGATACAAAAAAAGCTGATATAAAAAAAACTTACACAATCATTGCAGGTTTCCGGGACTACCACTTGTTTCGCAGTTCGCAAAATTATATTGTTTGATAGATAATTGTAGCCTCGAGAAAATAGCAAAATATCATCTACAAAGTGTCCGGAGCAAATGAGTTACGAATGGTTATCTATATAAACTTAAATATTTCAATTCACAGAAGAACTTCTGATCAGAAATTATAGAGAACATAGAACCTTAAAAAATACCGACTTCCAGCACACAAGACCTGTTACGACTGTCTTTTGGAGTAAAATAAATCAAATAAACTACCAGGTTTCAGAATTCTTGCCCAATCTTCACAACTAGAATCGCAACATGGTCCAAGGTCAATTGCTTCCGGACCAAAAACAAAGTGAAGGCCACTTGCGCAGCACGCCAATACTCCATGACCGTTATCAAAGCGCACAAAACGACCCTGTTGAAATTTCGTGTTACTTGTAAAACAGAATTGCGATACCTGCTGCGAATTATTGACTTGCACAAGTTCCATCTTGCAAATATTCCCAAGAAGTGATCTGAAAGTTCTTTATGTCAGAAAGCATAACAAATTGGTTCTTTTATACTAAATGCAATCCAGTCTATTGATGGTAGGAGCCTTTTCATACTTTGGGACACAAGTTATGACAAGATCTTTAAAAAATAATTAAAAAACAAAAAAAAAACGACCAAATTATTGGTTGACAATGGACTCCACCCATTTGATGGTATATAAAACAGCTAAAAACAATAACTTTATCCGCTATTACTGAAAAATACCTCAAAATACTTTTTCTACAGATTGCAGTCACTATTTTTTTGTTTACAGATAATCACAACATACAAACAAAAGAGAACTATAATACAACAACAGTATCTAATATTTAATATAATTTTTCAATTTCAAGATAAAAAGGCCTGCATACATGTACACAAAGTTCTAATTGATCAAATACATTAATTTTAAAGAAAAAAAAAGAATTTATGAATTTATAAAACGAATCTCTACAATTTGCTTCCCAAAAATTTTTAAAATGATGACCAAAACGTTATAACAATTACTATCATACCAGTTGTAAAAAGTATATTATAAATATCAAAACTCTTCGGTACTCTTGGTATCCCAAACATATTCGTTCTGGAATCTTCTGAATTTTGCAATAAGGTCGTCTAATTTCACTTCTCCTTTTACCTGAACAATTCAAATCTTGATTACATCAGACTCTTCAAAACCTTACGAAAGTTTTGCAAGAAAAGACCCTCAAGTACAAGTATTTTTCTACTGTTTTTTTCTAAATGATTAAGACTCTTATTTTCGATTTTCATAGGGAATAATGAAGTGCAACGACTGAAACGTATCACACTGAAATTCTTGGACTTACAGTATTATCACGCATTCTCACATTGACAGTTTTATTTTGTGCCTCTTGTGGTCCAACCACTAAAATAAAGTTGAATTGAGCAAGCTGAGCATTGCGTATTTGCTTATTCAAAGTATCTGATGAATTTTCGTCGAACTCAACTTCAAAACCAGCTTCATGAATCTGAAAGTTTAGATTTATTTTCAACTTATTTTAAAAAAAAAAGAGAAAAAGATACTTTAAATAAGCAATACTTAGCAATTTGGACAACCACAACTTTTGCCATATTTATTTAAATGTATTTCTCATCATCCCATAAAAATTTTCAAGAATAAAATTTTTTCCAATTACGAATGGAGATTTTTCTAATCTAGTTTCAGCATCATAAAATATTCTAATAAAACTTACTTTTTCCTGTACCATTTTTGCATACTCGCTTTGAGACTCGTGAACTGTGATCACTTTAGCCTAAGTAAACAGAAATGAAAAGGTTTTATTTCGTGAATGCATTAAATAATTGAATAAACACAACCGAATATAGACACTTCAATCAGCTTCATTTCATGTTCTTTCATTAAGATAACATTCATAAAAATAAAGATTACTTTCCAGACACCCACATAAGGCAAAAAGAGTCATCTTTGTGTTGTTAATATCTTTCGAAGAATAATTAAACGACTTTAAATCTTTCGAATACTGTATCATGCTTTCTAAATTTTTATCGCCAACCTGACGTGGTGATAGCCAAAAAGGCCACTTCCCACCATAGTTCTCGGCTAAAATAGCAGTCATTCGTTCAATTGAACCCAAAACAGCGCGATGAATCATGACTGGTCGTTGTCTTTCATTGTTTTCACTAAACACTATTCAAAATGTGTATTTAAAAAACCTATTAGTTGTTAAATGAAAACACAAGAGCTAAAAACAGCAAGAATCAACTTACAATAGACACACAATCTGATCAGCTTAAAGTAAAACTCGATGACTTTTTCAAAAGACAAAAACAAATAATCAACCAACTCAAAATAGGACAAATCAAATCGTATAGGCAACTGAAAATCAAGCTGTATCGTTGCACACTGGTGAAACCGTTGAAGAGCGTCTTTGATCGTAATATCGATCTAAGAAGAATTATGACTTTACAATTGTGAATTGAAAATTTCTGAAACATCAGTCCTGAACATTTGTACCTTAGGGCCATAAAAAGCACCATCACCAGGATTGAGTTCCCATTTATGTCCGGATGCATCTAGCGCTTCTTTTAATTTTTCTTCAGCGAAATTCCTGTAATTTCACACAGAAATTTACCCCAGCCAAATTTTCTGAGAAAACCAAGACCTCGCAAATTTCTGAAACATGTGTTGATATAATCTGAGGTTGTTCAGTAATGCGCAAAAACATGCCAAGTAAATTTACTCACCATGTTTCAATATCACCTAAATATCCCACCTCTGGTCTGGTACTCAAATTTAATTTGAATGTGAAATTGAATACATCAATGTACGCATACTGTAGAAAATCAATACAACCCTGAAAAAGCAAACGATAACAAACAAGTGATCTATCTTTCTCGAAAAGTGAC